ACGTAAAACAAGAGAAGCCTATATAAGGGCGAGAAATAAGGTATCTGCTCAATTTAACCCTCTGTGACTGAGATGAGTGGGGTGGAGAAGTAGGAAGAACATTAAAAGAAAAAATCTTAAAGATGGGGTTGTTAGCTTTCTTGTTTAAAATGGAATGAAGTCACATTAAGGAGATGAAATTCAATAATGGCTGGTAATTGTCGCAAACGAATGAGAAAGGACTATCTTTTACTTGGTTTCTTATTTTCTTCAAAATTTGCTCGACATTGTTATCTTTCGAATTGATTACAGTGGGTCATCACAATGGTGATGTGAATGTATAGAGTCTGAAGAAATTAATTATATTTTTATTTGGAAAATACTGAGTTACCCATTAGTGAGGCTCAATAAACGGTTAGTGATTCAGGCAAAGTCCATGAGGCCATGGCCATAGCATTCAAGAGAGACTCCCCCGTTTGCAGGAATTTGATGGAATTAAGTATTCTTCAGGGTTTGCCTGGCCTTGATACCTTGGTACACAATAAAATCACGGTGCCATATATCCGCCCTCCTCCCCGAGTGCTTGTAGTATCAGCACGGACAGGATCAATACAATTTTGTCTCTTGAAGGAGCTTCTTGCTTAGAAGTCTTACATCCCAAACTTACTGGTCAAGAGTGATCACATCTTGGTGGCCTCTGAACTGCCAAGCCAAGCGTAAGGCCAAGTCATTGGCTTCAGATCTATTAAGAGAACACAGAGAGGGGTCAAGGTGACGTAAGTCCTTTTCAAAATATTGCAAAATGTTAATTACAAAAGTTGTAAGGTCCCAGTTTTTCAGAAATGTAGGGGGGAAATAAGTACAAGTCCTCTCTTTGCCCTTTAGTCTGCCCCCACCCCCAGCAGTCTCACTTCATCCTTCTCATACAAGTTCCCCAGATGTCTTCAATAAAGAATGAAACACACAGAAGAAACCCGATGCAAAGGATACGCTGCTCATTTCAGACTTCCGCCCAACTCAGCCGCGTGAGTAGGGGACTGACTTCGAGGATGTTAGGAAGCCCACATTAAGCCTGATCTCGAAGGGAGGAATGGGAGAACAAGAGCCCATTAACAGACCTCTGAACTATGTTGCACTGACCCAATACGGGATGAGCTCCTTATGGACAAAATAAGGCTCATAATTTTTCTATCTGGTTTACACAGCCTGAAGACACGAGTCAGACACAGAAGAAAATAATCACAAGTGGGATGTTTATTATCCGCCCAACATCATGCTCAGTGTTTGCTTGCATTTATTCTCGTAACTCCTTTGCAAGGCAAGTGCTGCCTTTTTGTGGATGAAGAAAGAGACTCAGAGAGGTTAAGGAGGCAGAGTAAGTTCTCACAGCTACTAAGAGATAGAGCCAGCATTCAGACCAAAGCCTGTTTAACTTCAAGATTATTCTCTGTACTTGCCCAGGTTCTATCATCTCCAGTCTCTGGGGACAGTCTTTGGGGGCAATCCCCCTTTGACAGTATAGGATTCTTTAGAAGTGAAAGTCAAATATGATGGTATTTAATTTATTGAAGGCAAAGATGCTTTACAACAATAAATTAGATCCTAAAATACCTACCTTAACTTTTTACTAAGAAAAAGGGACGATCTTTAAACTTGGTTTTAAAATCTCATTGCAAAGACAGAAGTGAATCACAGAATCAAACATTTACAGAATTTCCAATAGTTTTAATCCACTTATACTTAATTTCAAAAATACAAGTGTACACTGTATGCACAGAGGAAATCCCAATATAAAATTGCGTTGCAAGCTTTTCACGTCAGTAGACATGTATTTCCAAAAACATATTTTTAAGGTCTGCATAATATCCCACAAAATGGATATATAACTTGAATTTACAGAATTTAAAAGTTGGAACATATCCATTCTTTTGAACTTACTCCTTCCTTTTTTGTATTTGTGTTGAGGAAATTGCCTAAGAAACAAGTCAATCAAAAGTCTTACAGAAGTTACAGCTTGTTCAGTAGAATTCTTCTTTTGTAAAACCCCTCATTCATGCCTTAAAGAAACTACGGAGGCCCACTGATTCTTTAGTTACTTACTCTACTTCCTGAGGAGGTGAGAGCCATCTGACAGGTTAGGTTTTATCTTAGGAACCCCAGGCTTGGATATTTTTGCCGTAGTTACCACCCAAGTATCTAACCTTCAGAGATAGTAAAGCATGCTAAGTAATCTTTCCCCATCTCTCTCCAAGGAAGCCACAGTCATGAGAAGTTGAATGGCATGCTCACGTTAATCATCAGTGGCTGGGTCAATCCCCTAGGACACACTGTTGGAGAGCCTATCCACCACAAGCTCAGGAAGTAAAGCCAAAAAACGGAACCATCAGGGCCCCATTGTGTGGTCACTTAGTAAATGGCAAGAATCTCCGGAAACCCGAGATGTCTGGGCTCCCCCAGGAAATCAAGAAGAAAGGTATGTGTGGGGGCATATAAAAACAGATTGGGGGGAATGGGGTCGGGGGGGGGGCGGGGAGCTGGAAACATACCCTGAGTTGGTAAAATAGCAAACAGAGAGTTTCTCCGGCAGGGTTGTTACAAGGCGCCTGGCGTACTCCACGATATTGTCGTGAAGGAATCGAGAATTGGTGTTTAGCAGCTCCATTTGCTTCACGGCAGCCTTGACCACTTCTGGATGACAGTGTCCCACTAAAATGCAGAAGACAAAAACCCAGAAAAGGAATGAGGATTCTAAATACCCGGGAAGTTGGTGGGATTCTGAAGCAAGGGGGAAAAAAAGATAAGCTTCTTTCTCTCCACACTCTGCTGTTAACCTGTTCTGGGCTAGGACTATGGGCCCATCCAGCCAAGGAACAGCAGCCCCTGTACCTCCCGGGGCAGATATTAGTGGTGCCATGTCTGCCCCAGTCCACAAATGTACCCTTCCAAGCGCAACAGAGACAGGATACTTACCGTGGGCCACATTGTTGATGCAGTCCAGGTACCGTTCTCCTCTCTCGTCAAACATGTACTGTCGTTGGGCTCGCACTATTTTGATGGGATCCGCAGCAAAGAAAACTTTGCATGAGGGTCTAGAAATAAGGAAAGGAAACACTTTGATCTGGAAGGACTGCTCAGTGTTTTTCCTTCTCAATGAAGGTCATGATCAGTGGAAATTTATAGCTACATAAAGGAAAGGGAAAACACAACCTGGGTGACATACGTTATTATTATTATTATTATTTTTTTAAATTTCATATTAGCCTGGAAACTTTTACCTTAATCCCCCATTGGTGACCCTGCTCACATTTTGTATGTTTGTTATATTAAATTTGCCATGATTTGACAACTGTTTAGAGGCACCTGGGTTCACTCTGACAACTCTAATTACACAAACCAATAACTAATACTCCTCTGGGAAGTTTTGTCCTACCAGAAAATGAAACAAACAAACAAACTTTTTTTTGAGGTTTATGATGTGTCAGGACCTGACAAATATTACGAATATCATTTCATTTAATCCTGCCAATAATCTTATGAAATAGGGATTATTATCATTCTCATTTTTATAGGTGAGGAAACTGAGGCACAGAAAAATCAAGAAACCTGTTCAAGATTACAGCCAGGAAATGGAAAAAACAGAATTTGAAAGTAGACCGTTCTATACTGCAGCCCAAAACAGTGTTTGCTTGCTTTCTCTTGCTCCCTTTGTAATCTAATCGATAAAGAAATGAATAGCACTGAGAGCTAAATATAAATAAACTGGTAATAAATACTATAAAAGAGATTTTTATAGGAGACCATTTCCAAGCCTTTTGAGGGGGTATTTGTCCTGTACCAAAGAGATTTTCAATTCTTAAATAATGAAATGATTTTCAATTCTTAAATAATGAAATCCAATTATTCTTTTAACCTCTTAATCCATTATTTTGAGCAAAATAAAAGGTCATCCCTATTTTTGGTTATTTGGATGAATGTCTGGAGTATAAACCTTAGCAACATAGAACCATCACAAAGTTTTCTGATGTTGGCCCTATGGACATGTAGAAACTAAAATGTAATAGATTCTTATTATTAATATTATTATTACTTAAAGATTTTATTTATTTATTTGACAGAGAAAGAGCACAAGCAGGGGGAGAATCAGGCTCCCTGCTGATCAAGGAGCTCCATGAGGGAATCTGTCCCAGGACCCTGGGATCATGACCTGAGCCAAAGCAGGTGCTTAACCCAGTAAGCCACCCAGGTGTCCCTGGAATATATTATTTTTATTTTGGTGATTTTGCATGCACAAACAAAAATATGCGACATGCGTTGCAGGTATTTTGGAGGGTAACTAGATGTTTATATATTAAATTGATATGCAAGTGTTTAGGAGGTATTTTAATTATTGTGTATAGGTAATCTTAACTTAAAATTGTCTCAGATTAAGCATCATCAGTTAAAATGGGAAACAATATTTAATGAGAATTTCTTATTGGTTCAATCCCAGCTGTTAGCTTATACCTCTGAGTTAAAAGCCAAAGCAAACCTTTGTCATGAATGTGGGCTGTGAACTGCAGACTTCACCTTCTCTTGCTAAGGGTATTTTCCACCTCGCCACTCAGACTTCAGGTAAAATTCTTTCAGGCTGTCCCTGCTTACATTCCTCCCTTCACAGAATTTCTTCAGTTCACAGTGGAAATCACTGGGTTTGCACTGGACTCTAATTACATTGCAGGATTGAAAACTAACAGAATGGAGTGGTGATTAGAAAAGGACAAGGGGGGGGGGCACCTGGGTGGCTCAGTGGGTTAAGGCCTCTGCCTTCAGCTCAGGTCATGATCTCGGGGTCCCGGGATAGAGTCCCGCATGGGACTTCCTCCTCTCTCTCTGTCTGCCTGCTTGTGATCTCTCTCTGTCAAATAAATACTTAAAAAAAAAAAAAGAAAGAAAAGAAAAGAAAAGAAAGAAAGAAAGAAAGAAAGAAAGAAAGAAAGAAAGAAAGAAAGAAAGAAAGAAAGAAAGAGAGAAAAGGACAAGGGGTGGCTGGGTAATGAGGGAGGAATTGGACCATTTTGGCTTTCCCTGCGTGGAGGTGAGAGAGCTCAGCCAGTCTCCTAAAAGGCCATCTAGAAACTTCCCGGGTTGAGACCAGGAGATGAGTAGGAGCAGCCGCCTAGTATTTCTCAGAAGAGAATACCAGTTCTTTTCTTTCTTATGTCCCAGTCCTCTCTCACGTTCATCCGCGACACTGCTTGTTAATTACGTGTGACCATTGCCGGCCTTTGACTTGACAGTGGCCACAGTCATCATTGATATTTACAGGTGCCTTTTTAAAAACCAGATTGTTATTATTAACGCTTATTAATCTCCCTTGCTGGCTCCCGTGAAGCAGAATGTTACTCCTACTTCCACAAAAGAGGAAATGAAAGTAATCTGACAGAGGTCACGCAGGTAACGAGACACCCTACTAGGGCCAGAGCCCAGGCCAGACTCCGCGTTCAGTCCCGTGCTCTAACCAGTCTTCTACCGAGTCGTTTATAACACGGGCGAAGCAAAAGCAGACTGGAGAGAACACTGCTCCTTTTCATTGTACTGAGGGCACAGCTTGGGAGACCAAGGTGGGTAAGTGGCATTTTTTACCCTTCAGAAAGTGGTTGTAAGGGTTTTTTGTTTTTTTTTAAACTGCCCGGATTAACCCTTTATCTAACCAAACATGCAAGAAGAAAAAGTTCACTTTCAGCAAAAGCTGTCAGAATTCGTTTCTGTTCATAGCCAGTATCCAAAATATTTTTTCAGTTCCTAGTTTGGAGGAACGTTCGAGTTGGTGGGATTTGGCGGAGAGCTACCCAGCTTCCCTCGCAGCGCCCATCCCTGAACTGGAGTTCCCCTCCTGGGGCATTAACCCTCGCGGTTCAACTCTTCCCGCCGCCCGCAGCCCCCACGCACCCGCGGGCTGCGGAGCGCAGGGACAGCGCGCGCGGAGGGGCGGCGGGCACGGGGGGCGGGCGGCGGCGCGCGTGCGCAGGTGTGGGGCGGCTGGGAGGTGGCCTCTCGCGTGCACCCCGCCGGCCTCAGCCCTGTCGCCGTCCCGCTCGCGGCTACCTCCCTGGCTGCGGCTTCACGCCCCCTGCGCTGGTTCTTTCCCGGCTCTGCGCCTCTCCTCGCGGCTTTGGAGCCCTCACCCGATGTGCTTCCTCCTCAGCTCCAGGGTGTCCTGCTTGCTGTACAGCTCGCACATGGTGGCGCGGCCTCCGGGCGCTCCCCGGGGGTCCCGGTCGCGTGTGTGCGCCTCCCTCGCAAGCCAGCGGGCTGCCTCCGCGGCGGGTCTTTTCCGCCTGATCCCTCCTGGGGGTCCCTTTGCCCTGGGCGTCGGAAGTCACCCGCGGCATCAACTGGCTGGGGTCATCCCCCTTTTAAGTCTTGTCCTGCCTTCGCCCTTCGCCAAGCCCCACCCTCCCGTTCCCCTCCTCCGCCGGGTGCCTGCTTTGGCAAGTCGCCGGACTAGCCACTCAATCGCCACCACCCCTGCCCCTGGTCTAACTGGCTCCCGTCCCTGCCCCGCGCTTCCCATTTGCCCTCCTAATCCTTGCTGCTGCTTCGGACTCGCCTTCAATTCCCCTAATTTGGCCTTGCCTTCGCCTTTCGCTCCTGCCGGTGAATTCCTTCCTTACCTCCTCCTTTCTCGTTTCTTTTTGGTGTATTCCCTTATGTTCTTATAAAGGTCTGAGTTAACCCAGACTCTACAGTTGTCTCCTTTCTCACTTTGAGCGTATTTCACTACCATAACCTGTAACTCAGCAAAAGTAACAAGTCACATGCCCTGAAGAAAAGTAACAGGGGACTCAGCTCGGTACTTGTTGGGAATGATAATGTATACAGTGTTTCAAAGATCCACTTTAACTGCACTTCTAATTTCTCTACTACTATAGAGATTATAAAACATATACCTTACCTGGTTCAGTTCTTGAGACAACCCTGAGAGATGATCAGATTTATCATGCCATTAACATATGGGGAAAGTGAGGTTATTCCTTGTCCCATGATTACATGTCTACCTGGTGGTGCCCTTGGAATTCGTTCCTAGGTTTCTTGACTTCCTTTGGGATGATCTTCACACACGGATTAAATTGGAGGTTCAATATCTCGGCAGAGTTAATCCTAATTCACTATACCATTAAGTCATGTTATTTTAAGAACTAAACATCCTCTGCTTTGAACTCCCCTGTTCTGTAGATAAGAGCAGTAAGGCACAGAAAAGGTAGTCCTATTCAAGGTCATGCAACTACTTAGCCATAGAGTTTAAACTAGATCATTTCATTCTTTCTGTGTTTTGAAAGGAAGCGAAGAAATTTACCTGTAACAACACACTTGAAAAATGTTTGCAGACAATCTTCCTCCTGAATGAAGTTATAAATTTACATTAAGGTACTGCAGAAGCAGTATTACTGCATTGCCTAAGATAAGTTGAGAAACCGAGTCCTATGAGAAACAGTGTGGTAAGAATCCTGGGTGATTTAAATAAAGGGCAGAGGGCACTTAGGAAACTTGCAAGAAATCCCAATCACATAATCTTGGTCTACTTCCATACTTGAAAGATGATGCCAAATGTACATTTATTCTCAAAACACCTACACCTGGTGAAATCACAGATAAGCCATGCTTTTTCTATAAATCTCCATGGTTTCCTATTATTCCCAGTACTTTAAAATATGTTCTGTAAATAATGCTGGACCAAGAGTCTTAGGGCCCAGATCTGGTTCTTCCATAAATTGGTTGGGTTTCTTGACCTTTTAGAGGCCAAATTTCTTTGTACTAAAATAAATAAATAAATAAAAATAAAAATCTCTCTTCCACCAAAGTATTACAAAGAACGCTTTAAAGTATTATAAAGTCCACAAACAATGTGGCAGGATCATTGTTAAGGTCTCAATGATCCTATTCTTTTTTTTTTTAATACCTGACCTCTCAGCAATTGACCACTCCTTTCTCCTCAAAGCATTTACTCTTGATTTCTTGGCACCACCACACTTCCCTCATTTTCTTCTTCTGTCACTCAACGTTGATATGTTCGTATCTCTGAGGGTAAGGTCTTGGGCCATTTCTTTTCTCTGTGCTCTTTCCCAAGGTAATCAACCATGACTCCTTTGGACTGAGGACCCATCAAAGTGCCACATTTACATTTCCACCCAGATCTTCTTGGTCCCAGACTCTCATATCTACTTCCTTTCTTGATTTCTCTACTTTGATGTTTCATAGATACCTCAGCCTGAATGAGTCCAAAATGTAAGCTTTGATCCCCACCCCCAAGAGACTGCCTTTGATAGGGCTCCCCCCCCAACCAGACATTCATGGGCTCATTCAAAATATACCAAATGCTCACTGTATGTCCCTGAATGTTTCAGTTGCAGGAGAGAACAGTGAACTAGACTGAATGGACACACCCTCGGTGGCTTGTGCACTGGCCAGCATAGGGCCACTAGCCACCAGTGATTTTTGAGGACTTAAAATGTGCTAGTCTGAATTGAGATGTGCTCTCAGCATAAAATATACACTGTATTTTGATGACCTTATACAAAAAAAAAAAACCCTTTAACATTTCTCATTAAGTGTTATATTGCTTACTTGTTGGAAAAATATTCTGGATACATTGAATTAAGCAAAATATGTCATTAAAAGTAATTTCACCTCTTTTTTAAATGTGGCTTCTAGCAAATTTAAAATTTCATATGTGGCTTGCATTACTTTTCTATTGGATGGGATTATTCTAGATTAAGTTAAATTATTTTTAAGCCCTGTTGACTCCACTTCAAAATACATGCTAAATCTATCTGCTACCACCCTTTGGAAGCCTTCTGCATTTCCTCCAAGACGTGTGCAGATGCATTTCCTTGTTTCCCCCTCCCGCCCTGTGCAGACTCAATCAGATCCTGTCCTTTCCCTTCCTAAAACCCAGCAGTGACTTCCAGCTTTCTTCTCCAGGCTCAGTCTCTCCTGACCCCCCAACCCCATATTCCTTGTCCTTTATGACTTCAAGACTGCATCAGAGAGGTCATTCTTGACTGCTCTGCCTCATGTAATTTTCAGTTAATTAAAAACATCTCTGTTCCTCTGTCTGAATCCCCTTTTTGGTCTTTATCTGCCTTGTTCATCACTGTACCTCAGCACTATCACTACGCTTGACCTATGGTGGATTGATAAATATTTGTCGACTGATGGGCTGACTGACTGAAACAGGAAAGATATTTAAAGACTTAATATCTTGCTTTGAAGATGAAATTTCTTACAGGCAATATAGCCCTTGAAACTGTTGCCTCTATTTGCCGGTTGATGGCCAGCTTATATTTTAACCATTTCTTTAGGAGAGAGATGCTCAGATTCACTATCTTTTATGGGAAAACAAGTTACTGTTGCAAAAAAGTTATTTCCCCATTGTCTTACTTATTTCACAATGTGGAATACTATAATATTACATTAGAATTATAGTATCAATGAAGTACCAGGGACAGTTTTCAAATAAAGAGTAGACATATAATAACACCAAAATAAAGATAGATGAAAGTCAGCAGTTCACCCTTTACAAAGTTTTGTCAAAAAACAAATTCTAAGATATATTTTGGGTATGTTTTCTTGTGTACCTCTCTGTCATATGACTGTCTGGGAGGAGTGGGTGCTGGAGTGCCTTTCTTCCCGGAAGTAGACACTGTTCAGTTTTGGTCTTGATCCTATCGATTGGATCACACTATTGAGTGAGTTCTGACCTGAAGACCACAGATCAGTCAACCATCTAGGCTTGGCCAAACAAACCATACTCTGCGTGACTGATATGAGAAGACACAGCATGCATGAGCTTGGGACCATCAGAATTTCACTCAGTAGTCTGATGAGAAGATTCTAAATGGCAGGTTCCAATTTTCTTGTCAGTGAGAAACAAGCCAAGGTGAGTGAACTCTATGTCCCCAACAATAGAGGCCCTCCAGCTTATTATACAATACTCAAGATAGAATGTGAACATTTGACTGGTTCTTCACTGTTTCCTGTTACCCTGTCCTGCCCTGCCCTACCCTGCCCTTTCTTGAAATCATACATCATCTTGGACAAGTGCTGGGTGTGATTTTTTTTTGACATGACACACCATATCCACAGAGGGTCTCCTTTGCCCCGACAGACCTTGCACGAGAGCGCGGGTCACATGTCTTAACTTCCCCTGAGAGCCCCCACCGATGTCAGCATGTGTGTACAATTGTGCACTCAGCTCCTAGTTCGCAGCAGGAAGAACCTGACAGGCCCTTCCATCCCTGGGACTTGAACACCTCTTAAATGGAGCCATCTAACTACTCACGATGTGTGCGTGTGTGTGTTCCTACGGTACACCGACAGCACATCGGGCTTGTTCAAACCTATTCCTCTCCTCTTTCCATCCTGAGGTTCCCCCTAAACTAAGTCCACAGGAATCTTCCAGACCTGTGATTGAGTGTAACAGGAGGAGCCTTCTGAGAGTGTGTGCGGTGATGGAGAAAGGTGATATTTTAAACACCTGAGGCTCGTCTTACATTTACTGGAACTGTAGCAGCCCAGAAACCATGTAAACACTCAAGAGGCTGGTACTGGAACTTGCACT